TAAATTATATTTACAGATGTTGATGCTATACTTTATAATATAATAAAGATTCAATTTCTAAATTCACAACTAGCTTCATATATCTTTCATATTAAACAAAATTTAAAGAAAAATATTTACATAAACTCTAATTAAAATATTCAAACTTTATTATAGAATTTGATAAAGCATAAAATACATTAGATAAATAAGAATTTTATATTAGATAGGAGGTATTATTGTGTAAATATCCTATTACTTAACCATATTTTCATAATAATTTTTATCTTTTACATCATTCTTGAGCAAAATGTTTTATTAATTGTATCTTTAATATTAGAATATAATTAATTTAATGAGTAAAAGGAATAAATAGTATGCTCAAATGTCTGATAAATCATTATAGTATTTTATATGAATATTTAATAATATAAAAAAAAAATCAAAATAGAGAATTTTAAAGATGAATTTACAGCTTAAAATGATATTTAATATAATAATTCTTCAATTTTAATAATAAAATTCTTTTCATATATTGAAATAGAATTGGTCAAATATTTATTTTCAAAAATTTACACTATTTAGTATTAATAAATTAAGATAGTTTTTATATATGATATACAACTAATTAAAGATTACTCTAAAATTTTAAATAGTTATAAAGAATGTTTTACTAAAATAAAAGAATGTAGTTTAGAAAGCTTTTTAAAAGATATTACTAAATTTTTTATTTTAAAAATTTGGTAAATTAAATATGTATTTCTAGAAAGTAAATCATGTAACTTTATTATAATTCTAAAAGATGAATCTTATCTTTGTATATGTTTATATATAATTTCTTATAAATTAGTTTATAAATACTTTTTTAAACTTCTAAGAGTTTCAAATAATGCAAAATTTAATATAGTTTTAATTGTAAACAGATGGTATAAAGATAAAATCAATAATAATGTTGAAATTAATTATAATTCAAACACATGTAATTTTAATTATATTCAATAAATTCAGAATATAATTAAAATATAATCTGACTCAAAAAAACATTTATCTAAAAGAAAAAATATGGAAAGATTTATAGGTTAGCTCGTCATGTAATGCAATTAGCAGTTGATAATGATAATCAAGAGCCAGTTCAATAGATAAAATAATATATTAAAACTATGGAAGAACAACTTGAATAAACTCAAACTAATACTATATTAACTAAAAAAAGAAAACATAAATTCTAAATTCAAAACTTCTAATTCAAGTCAATAATTCACTTATTAATAATCATACTAAAGGTAGACCTTCTAAATATGTTAAAATATTAAAGGAAAATAATCAAAATAAAAGGTTACAAAAATAATATTAAAATTATAAAGAAACTTCTAATCATAATTCATGTAGTTATCCTTATTCTTATGGTAATTACAATGATATTTCTCATAGAATTCATCAATATATATATTTAAAAAGTTAATTGTAAAATTTAAAAATATAATGAACTAATAAAATAAGTTATCTGGTAATAAATAGTTATTTATTACTAGAATTATATAGTAATAAATAACAATTTATTATCAGTGATAATAAATAGCAGAATTAAAAAATTAAATAAAAATAATTTTTAAAATATATAAATAATATATATAAGAAAAAAAATTTAAAAGTTTAAGTAATTATTATAATAATAATTTTTAAAATATCAATAATTTTCATTAAAATTATCATTATTTTAAAAAAAAACTAAAATTATAATTTATTAAAAATCACTTATTAATAACTGAAATCTTATAAAAAAATATAGTTTAATTTTTCTAATATTAAGATATTGATATTAATTTAACTTTTTTTATTATTATTTATATAGAATATAATAGAATTAATATTAGTATTAAAAATTATTATAATAATAATAATAGATAAAAATCATATAATAATAGTATAATTGTAAAGTATGATAATATTTTATTAATTAAGAGATTTATTTTCTTAGAAATAACTGATTTACTTGTATTTTTGTAAATATATGAAATTAATATTAAAAAATAAAGAATTATAAAATGTATAAATTTCTTAATAAATTAAGTAATTAATTTTAATAAACAAAAGTTTTATTTATTTACAATTAACTCTCTTTAAATACACTATATATTTTTTCTCTAAATGCATGTATTCATTCAGTGCTAAGTATATAGAAATTATATAAAAAATTTTCTTTTTAAATGCATACCCTCTTAAATGCACACTTTTTAAAATTTTCACTATGACCCTAAGGGGATGCATTTAGAAAGAGTTGACTGTATTTATATTTTTTATGTATAAATAATAACTTTAAGTTAAATTAAATGATTAAAATATAATTGATTTGAGAAAACAAAACTTAATCTAGTAATCATTTTAGTAACATTAAAAAAATGGTCTTTAGTAAAATTAATATTAAAAATCCAAGATAAAGAACTTACTGATGAAAATTTTCTTTGTCTTATTAAGAAAAAGTTAACTCATAAGAATATTTAATTAATTAAGAAATTGCATTATATTTATTTGTATTAATTCTTTTATTTTAAGTAAAAGATGAAGTTGGGTAATCACCAAATTCAGAAAAAAAAAACAGATTATATCCTAAATTATACACGATGGAAATATCAAATATGTTGGAATGGTTCGCTGATGATCAACTTTAACGGTCACGTGAAAAGTGACCGCATTAGGAGTTTGCATTACTGTTACTGTTTAATTAAAAAAATGTTGTGTAAAATTCACATATAATAATAATAATTATTGTCACAAATCTTTAAACAAAAAAAAACCTTCATCATGACAAGTAAATTTTTAAATGAATTATCAAATGATATTGGAAAGTTATTGGATCAAGAAGAAAGTTATGATGTTATTATTAAAGTTGGAGAGGAAAATAATTCACGAGAGTTTAAAGTTCATTCTTTGATATTGAAGGCAAGATGTACTTATTTTCAAAGTGCGCTTTCAAATAATTGGGCTCGTAAAGGAGAAGGTGGAATTATTAATTTTAATAAACCGAATATTTCTCCTAAAGCTTTTGAATTTTTACTTAAATATTTCTATACGGCCATAATTGATTTATCGAAACATGAAATCACGGATATATTACAAATATTAGTTGCAGCGGATGAATTAAATTTACAAAGTTTAATTATTCATGTTGAACAATATTTATTGGAAAATCAATGTGATTTATTAAGAAAAGATCCAATTAAAGTACTTCAAATAACTTTTGGAAACGATGTATGTGCGATGCTAAAAGATTGTTGTTTTGAAGCGATATGTGGAGATCCAAATATATTATTTGGATCAAAAGAAATTTTATCAATTGACAAGTCAACATTATTATGTATACTTGAACGTGACGATTTAAATATGAAAGAGATTGACATTTGGAATAATGTAATTAAATGGGGTACATCACAAATCAATGATAAGGAAGAACAATTATCCAATTGGAGCGTAGAAAATATTTCAGGTTTAAGAGAATTAATGCAAGATTTCATTCCTTTAATTAGATGGTTTCAAATTAATTCAACTGAATTCAGAAGAAAGGTCATGCCATTTAAAAAAATCATACCGAAAGACTTGTATCAAGAAATTTTATGTTATCATCTAGACCCAGCATATGAATTAAATATTAATGTATTGCCTCCAAGAATTTCACAGCTAATTGATGAATTAGATTCAGTCTTGATCGAAAAAAAACATGTTACAATCATTTCAAGTTGGATTGAAAAACAACAAATGGATTTTTATGATAAGAAAAGAGTCCCTTATTCATGTAAATTATTATATAGGGCAAGCAAAGATGGTTTTGAAGCTGGAACATTTCATCGATTGTGTGATAATAAAGGTTCGACTATAACTGTTGCAAAAATTCGTTCACATGGTCAACTAATCGGTGGTTATAATCCTTTAGATTGGAAACCTCAATTAAATTCAACGACTGAAAGTGTTTGGTATCCCACCTTTGATAGTTTTTTATTTTCTTTTCCATCATTTCCGATATCTTCAAATGATGATTCCATTCCAACGATCCCAAAATTAGCTAGGGTAGGAAGTAGTGGCAATATTTCAGAATACGCTATTGGATATAATGCTGAATACGGTCCATCTTTTGGAGGTGGTTGGGATTTATCAATACAAAATAATAATTTAATTTATAGCTATGGTCCTTATTCTTATCCTGATTGTGGTGCTTTTGTAACTAGAAATCAATATCTTGAATTAGAAGAGTATGAAGTATTTCAAATAATCACATTAAAAAAAGAATCTTTAAATTCTGTCGAAAGTCGTGATCAATAACACCATGATAGATATTTTGCAACAAAATATTAAGGAATTGAATACCTGTAAATTTGAAAGGAATGAAACACATGGATTGCTTAAAATCTGTATTATTATTATTCGCGGATTTGTCAACGTAACATAAGAACATTCTTCTAAAGAGGAATTAATCAACTTCCAACCTATTATAATCTAGCTTAAAAGGAAATTTACATACTTATATCAACAAAAAAAATAAGTAAATTATAACTTAATAAAACATAAAAGTGTCGAAGAAGTACTCACATATACATTTGGATTTGTTAATTACAATAATTTTAATCTAACCGTTGTTTAATTTCCTCTTTGGAGTAATATTCTATCCAATTCCGAATGAGATTCAACCATTCACATTTGGGCTAATTATTGGGTTTGGAATTTTGGCCCTTGTAAAATGTGTGAACTTTCTTGAAATCGATAATATATATTGCTTGGATAAAAGAACGCGTCTAAATGTTAAAAAATCTTGAGCGACGTAATCAAGGCTTAATAATGTTGCACAATTGAAATTTGTAAAACATCAAATAATTGATCTCGGGAACCTTAGCCCATTGTCATATAAGATACGGATAAGCGATAGTAAAAAATCAATTTTCAAAATTTTCCCTTTTTCTCCTTTTCCTCAAATTTTATTATAAGAAAAAGTTCATTTTTTCGCTTTTTTTTCTTTGAAAAATCTAATCCTCATGAAATATCATCAACAGTTTATTTTACAAGACCATGGTGACCATGGTGGTGGAGGAGGAGGAGGTGGTGGTGGTGATGGTGGTGACGGTGGCCATGGTGGCCATGGTGGCCAAATGTGTTCCATGAATGTAATTTATTCTTTAAGATATAAAAATTTACTTAAAAAAAAAGACGAGAGCAATAAAAAAAAAAAAATTCACTATAATTTTTATTTTTTAGATGCTTTTTAATTGGGATACAAAAAACCTTTGTATCGTTTTTTCTTGGTGGCGTGTAGATAATATTGGTTTTCTTATTTTATCTTGTTTAATTGTAATTTCCCTCGGAATTCTTTACGAACTTATAGGATTTCTTTCAAGAAAGTACGATGCATCAATCTATAATTCATCTGCAGAATTGCAAGATGATGGCTTTGAAGAAAATGCTACGGTGACCTCAGAAATACAAACAGAAGTGCAGAAACGAAACAGAGTTTTCAGGTAACCATTATGACATTATTTTTTTTAAATTTTCAAAATTGAAATGATTAAATATTATATTTCTTCATTTAGAATAACATTTAAGCAACAAATGATTCGTTCATTAATATATACCGTTCAAGTATTTATATCGTTTTTTACAATGTTAATTTTTATGACTTATAACGGATTTTTAATGTTTAGTGTAGCAATTGGTGCTGGTATTGGTTACCTTTTTTTTGGGAAACCCACATTATCACTAAACTATGATTTACAAGATAGATTAACTTGCCATTAAAATGTAGTATTGATATAATTGTGATATTTCTTTCTTATATAATAATTTTATTTATTGACTTTTAAATAAATTTATCAAAATTTTTTCAAATTTCATTTGATTCAGAATCGGCAGGAGAATCTTTGTGAAGATTAATTTTACCTTGCATTTCTACCATTACACTACCATTAGTCCATATAGGTTCTTTAATATCTTTGGTAAATTCAGTTAATTCTTTAACGATTCTATCCAAAAGACCTTTATCTAGACTAGATTGATTCTTTTTAACGCCTCTGTTACTGATAACAACTTGAAGTTGATAGCCTTTTTCTAACCATTCCTTTGCTCTAGACAATTTGTGTGTAAGATCATTTGGTGATACTTTCCATGTTAATAGTAATTCCTTTTTTAAAATTATAGATTTTTTTTGCTTCTTTTGTTTTTCATATAATTCTTGTTTAGAAATTAATCTACATATTGGTAATTCCTTTTGTTGTTGTCCTTTGGAGAGTTGCTGAGAAGAACTTTTCGATGGAGATGATGTTTCTTGGACTGGTGAAACTTGAACCAACCAATATTTGGTCCTATCAATTTCAGATAAAATTTTTTTTAATGGAAATGTTCCCTTTATTTGACCTTCTAAATCAACATAACTAACGTATTGTGATTTAATTTCTTCATCGCGTGGTTTATGATTTGAAGATTTCTTGAAATTGGAAATTTGTGATGTTGATAATAAACGAAATTTATTGCTTATTAAATTTACCGAAATTTGAGAAAATATTATTTGCGGTTTTTGTCGAAGACATGTCGGATAAATACTTTTTACTATTTTATGTATAATTGTCATAATTCTTCATATACAAAATTGTAATTAGAGAATTTTTCATTCGAAAGTGAAGAAATAAAACCGACACGCTTGAATTTTTTGACATTTTTATTACCATGATTGTTACACGAGTGATACTTTATAAGCACGTGAAATTTCTTTGATAATTAACTTAAATTATAATAAAGTTCAAAGAAGCTTTTAAAAAAAATTGTTAAGAATAATTTATCATTTTTAAATAAATTTTAATTACAAGATTAATAAAAATGTAAATGAATTCTTACTAATCATTATAAAAATACAATTAACTTTCTTTAAATCCTTTCTAAATGCATACACTATATATTTTTTCTTTAAATATATATCCTTTTTAAATGCATATTTTTTAAAATTTTCATTATGATCTAAGGGAATGCATTTAAAGAAAGTTGACTGTAATTAGATAAAAATAATTATAGTACAATAGTTTAAAGATATTCAATAATTTTAAAATATAAAGGATTATTATTAATTATATAATTATTAAAAAAAAATATGTTATTAAATAATATTAATATATTTTATTACTTACTATTTTTTTTATTCATTTTATTAAAATTATTTATAGTTAGAAATTTTTTTTTAATAATAATTGCCAATTTTCAGCATATTTAATTGGAGTGTCACACCAACTAATTAATCAAAACTATATTAGATACTTAATTAGTTTTACTATAATCTAAATTTATGTTATATAAAACTTTAAAATAAATTAGAATCCTTTTTATAATCGTTTACTATTAAAATAAACTCAAACTTCTAAAAGATTCCCACCAATATTAAGCTTATTTTCTTCTTTTTTTTTTTAATTGAGAATTCTTCTTAAGAATTGTTGAAAAGTAACTATGTTCATTTTTTAAAAATGAGTTGAATATTCCTTTTTAAAAATCAATTTTTACAAAAAATTTTAGATTTTTAAGGTCAAACCTTGAAATTTTTTTAAAAACAAAATTTTAATGTAACTTTGTTTTTAAACTATATATATTCTTGCTGTGAAAATTTGAAGGTAAATTGATGTTTTAATAATGTAGTGAATCATTTGAAGTATTCTAATTAATGAATTACTATTGATCTATCAATATATCCTTCAACTAACTAATTATAGAAAGATATGCAGACTTAATTTAATTGTTATATAACGATAAAAATTTTAAATATATAAATTTTATAGTTGATTAATATAGTTTTAATTAATTAGTCAGTGTAACACCCTAATATTTAATATTATATAAAATAAATATAATTAGCTATTTATATTTATATAACTGAAAATTATTAACTAAATCTACTAAAAAACTAAATATTATTTATTTAAAATTATCATTTATTTATAATTTATATTAGGATTATTATATTAGAATTCAGAGACCATTGTGAGTTTTGTGTGAATTATTAAACAAAAATTATGTAGCAGATAGAGAAACACTTACATAATTAAATTTACTTAATACATAGAAATATATAATCCTTTACTTTGCTTAGGATAATTATTTAATATCATTAAATTTTTTCAATCCATTTGTAAGAATCTAATAATAAGATTGATATTATTTAAATCAACTACCTTATCTGAAAATTTAAATTTATAAATATTTATATAATATATAAAATAATATATAAACTGTTAAATTTTAATTAAAATTATAAAATTTAAAATATATAATATAAATTTTTTTAAGATTTTAAATATAATTATAATAAAAATATAAATATTATTATGATTTTATTTAGAATAACTCAATTATATAAAGCAGAAATTGAAATATTTTGATATTTGCTTTCAAAAGCTAAATAATTAATACAACATTATAATATAATTTATTATAATTTAAAATTATTAAAATATTAAAATATAATTATTTTAATATTTAATAATAGAAATTAATAAAATTTAACTTATTAAAATCTTTATAAAGAAAAATCAAATAGTAATAATTTTATATTTCTATAATAAATATTGATTAAATTATTATATTTTAATTTAAGTTTATTTAATTGATTAAATAATTAATAATTGAAAATTTTAATAATTTTATATTGATTAAATTTATCTTATTAAAAGAATTTGAATAGTAATATCTTATAAAATTTGAAATAATTTTAATAAATATATCAAATTTTAATTATTTTATTAATAATTTTTATTTTTATTTATTTTTAAGTTTATTTAAATTTAAATTTTTAATTTTAAAAAAACTCAATATAATTAAGTTTATAATAAAATTTTAGGCATATATAGGATCTTTTGCAATATAAAGGGAAAAATTGTCAATAAAAAATCAATTTTACTTTTAAATGCTAAATATGATTTTTAGATCAAAATATATTCAGATTTAGTATTAATTTATTTTTTATTTTTTTTTAGCTATTTCTTTTTTTTTTAATATAAGATCTCATATAATAAGAAAATAATAAGTATTTTTTAAAAATTATTTATTGATTTATATCTATAAAATTTATTTTTTTTTAAATAAATATAAAATAAAAATTTTTAAGTTTATAAAAGGTATATGTATTTAGATCATGTGATATATTAATTTATTATTAGTATCACATTCTTCTGCTTTTAGTTTTACAATTTATTCTAAAGACTTACTGTAAACAGCTGACTAAAGTACCAATAGTATAATACCCTCTATATTTATACCCAGATATTATATATAGAATTTTGAAAAAATCATGCCAATAATAAGTTCTGAATATCATTATATTATTTATATAATTTTAGGGGAAATTTATTGTAAAGTTGATGCTTCTTTTTAAAATAATATTTTGCAAATTTTATGAAATTTGTATTGTATCCGGGTATTTTAGTCAGCTGTTTACAATAACAAATTTTCAGTAAAAATTTATTATTTGTCACTTCTTATTTGTCACATAATCTTCATATAGGTATTTTCTTAATTTTTTAATGCTGGTAAAAATAATATTAATGCCAATCATATCACGTAATCTATGTATAATATACTTATGTACAAATAGAAATTTCTATATAAAATATATATATTAAATATATTTAATTAATTATATTAACTTATTAAAAATAATTATAATAAAATTTTATATTAAGAATTTTTGAAATTTATAATCTAATTTATATAATTTATTTTTATTTTTTATTATAAAAATCTCTTTAATTATAATAATATTAAAAAATACTTATATTAAGCTAAATATTATTAATTAAAAACATTTTTTTTTTAAAATATATTTACATTTTAATTATAAATTTTAAATATATAAATATTAGTATTTTAAGAATCTTTGTTAATTGCTATATTAAAAATTTATTTTTATATTTGAAATATAAAAGAGTTTTATAAATATTAAAAAAGTTTTATCATTTTACTTTTTTAAATAAAGAATATATGGGTTGATTGCTAGAAAAACAGGTTCCGGGAATTTTTTAGCAAAATTGAGATTTTTATTGCATTTTAGTTTTTGATGTTATTAGATTAAAATGTATTAAGCTCTTAATTTTAGTCAAAATTTCTCGGAACCTGATTTTCCTAGAAACACTTCCATATATATTTATTTATTTTATAAAATAAAAATAAAAAGAATTTCAAATACTTTTATTAGAATATTATTTATATTTCAAATATTTGAAAATTTTATATTATATTTATTTGAATTTTAATATCTAAATTATATTTTATAATAGTACTTTAATATTATAATACTTATTTGTTATCAGTTACAATTAGTATTAATTCTATATTTATTAATAAAAATACTTTTAATTGATAATAAGGTGATAGATAAATAAATCAAAATCATAAATATATTTGACTTTTTTTATTTATTTTTCTTAAATTTATTCATATTATTTTATATATAAAAAACGTTATTTTAATTCAGCATATTTTAACAGTTCATATTGATTATCTACAATATCATTTATTCAATAATAATTATCTACATGTGAAATCACGGTCATTTTAAGATTTGCGATTGGAGGAGTTCAAATTAACGAGGTGTGTCCATTCTAAGAACGCATCATCCATCTACTTTTATAGCTAGAGGCCTGAAAAGACCAAAAATAAATGCCTTGCGCTGTCCGGAACATATCAAACCCGGGTCCGAGCAAAAAGAAACTAATAGACCAGGATCCGGCATAATTGAAAATTACTACTCAATTTGAAATTTAATATTTTATTTGTTTCAGGAAAAAATCGTCAAATCAAATAAAATACCTTTCTCATTAAACGACCATATTTGGAAATGTTAGTCATGCAAAATAGATTATTTGTCAGGTCTTGCCGGGATTTTCAGATATTATCAATTACGTCTACAAAAATTTTTTGAAGAATTATTGATTAAAAAGGTATTTTAAAAAAATAACGCGATCAAAATTACTTAAATTCACCGGGTACTTCAGCTTGTGATAAAAATTTCTCCTCTAAAACGTTCTACTTTTTATTTATTTATTTAACTTCGTCAAAATGTATATCCAATTTTATTTTCTCATTCATTTTCTTGATCGGCGGGTTGGGGGTTGACATTTCATTATGTTCAAAAAAGGGGAGGTTTTTTGTTTACAACATTGATTGATGTCGAGAGGAAAAAAAAAGATATTCTTGAAATCAGACAATTCCATTAGGTGATTAATTGAACCCTCATAAGCTTAAAGTCGGGAAGTATAGCCCAAAAATTGTTAACCACCAACAAAATTACATAATATACGAGACATCTAGTTACATGCCAAGAGATCACTCGGTTCATTCATCGTTAGATTCGGTGAGCACAATGATGTAATTATTCAAGATTTATTTAAAAGAATGACCGAGATCAACAAATTAGTGCACAATGGGCAATTTTTATTAATTTTAAAAGAGAAAGAAAGAATAGAAACATTTTGATAAAAGAAATTAGCACGTGGCGAGTGTTTGCTGCGGTCTTGTATTTGTTTTGTAGAACACGACAATTAAACTGCAAAACAAAATACATTGGAACGAGGATAATGCAAACAGATTTCTTAATCAGTTATGAATTACCATAAATAGAAACAATTATTCGATTTTTTCCTTGTCTAATTGACAAAGTCGGAAATTCTTGAATGTTTTTTTTTTGTTGTTTCGTTTTTTTTCTTTTTTTTAATATTCAACCAAAGTCGGAACAAAGGACATTTAAAAAATATTTAAGGTTAATGAAACCAATAATATAATTTTGACACCAATGATTGTTACGGATGAAAGTCCTGTGTTTTTTTTTTTATAAAAAAAATTCTTACTGTTAGGGTTGCATTAACTTTCTTTAGTGTTTTGGAACGGTGATCTATTAAATCTTATAAAAGTGAGTATCTTTTTGCATTTATTTTCACGTTGTTAAAAAAAAAAAAAAATAATAATAATTTGTCTATTCCCCCCCCCTTTTTTTCTTTTTCTCTCCTTTATTTATTTTATTATTCTTTTTTAATGGTTTGATTATTCTCTTCCTTTCGTATTCATTTCTTCCCTTTGAACCTCTGTAATCGATTAAATTGTTGGTTCCATACGTCATCATTACTTCCATCCTCCACCCAACGTGTTAGTCTTTCTTTTCAATCAACCAAAACATGTCCGGAATAGGTGAAATACCTAAAGGTAAAGGACCAGTGGTTGACGAGGCAATGCAGCCAAAAGGTAGACCAGGAAAAATAGCAAATGATTATGGTGCACCAAAGGATGTACAAATGGATGAAACAAAAGATGCACCAGAAGTTCCAATACAAATATCAAAGGAAAACCCAAAGGAAAACCCAAAAGGCATCCCAAAGGACATTCCAACGGACATTCCTAAGGAAAATCCAAAATTTTTACCAGAACCAAAAGCACCACTACCACCAACGCCATCACCAACGCCATTTCCACCATCACCAACGCCATCACCGACTCCTCCTCCTGCACGAACTTCAATAGTTACTGAAACTCAAACAAATCCGAATTTATCAGCTCAAGCTACATACACACCTGTTAACCCCACAGTTACCCTTAGTAAAGCCGAAACTGCAGACAACAATACGGGAACTTCGAATTCTGCTGGAATTATTTTCGGTATTATGGTTGCACTTGTTATTGTAATAGGCGTCATAGCCATGTTCATACGGAAAAAACTTCCTGAATTACGCAAAAATAAATCGAATGGAGCGAGATCTTTACAAAGAAATTCTCCTACGAATGAAAATGATGATTTAGTTAATACAAATCATTATGATTCTAGTACTTTCAGTAGAGAACCTCAGAAAAACGATACGACGGACAATTATAATACGTCGCTACAAATTCCAATGATGTCACAACCTCAAAATCCTCCACAATTATATTCAAATCCGGACAATTATTCATATGATTATCAACCTAGACCTTCGCATTATCCTCCAGGACATGGCTTTGTATATACGGATCCCGCAATTCCAAATCTTTATCAAAGAAATCAATCACCACCACCAATAAATGAAGTTTATTATAATAGAGTAATCACGCCCCCACCACCAAATCCCGCATCACCAAATCGATCTAATTATAGCAGATATGATCGAATGATGAATAAATCTTTGCCTCCTGTACCATAATTTAAATTACCTTCTCTGTAGTTTTGGCTAAAGATTCAAGGTATGAAGATTAAACTTCATCAAAATACAAAATGTTTTCCTTCCGTTCTCTAGCAAATTAAATTATCTAAACCAAACACTATAAATAATAGATTTAGATGTAGAATAATAATTTGGTTCAATGGGATATTTAATTAATATTTTAATCATTTTGTACAATCACAAAAAAAATAATAATAATATGTTTCTTTAAAACTGGTTTTAAAGAAATTCCTTTCATTTTTTATTCATTCAATAAATTGTTGTTGCAATTTTTAATTTTCTCTGATAACTTCAAAGTCTACATATGCACTAATCTCCAAATGAGTAAAGATCGATTAATAAATGTTGAATATTATTTCGGAATCATTGGTTTCAATTCAACATTATACGTTTTTCGAAGTTTAATTTGTTAAAGAAATTAACTAACGATTGAAAGTATGAAAAAAAAACCTAATTTATAGAAATCAATTTTTTTTTATTGTAAAAGTAAAAAACAAAATTGAATAACTTAAATAGTTGTTTTTTTGTCGTAATGAAAATGGAAAGTGATGAATGGCTTTTCGACGGAAAATTTTGCAGTTTTTTCTTAGGATAAATATATAAGCATGTAAGGCCGAACAAATTAAATTTTTAGTTTCTCATAACCGTGCGGATCATGTGAATATTACGAATAGAAAAAATATTTATTTTTTTAGTCACGTGATACCGGGCGGGTGTAAAGAAATTTGATCGGTAAAAATTTATTTATATACACATATATATACACCAAAAATATAGATGTACCGGTAATTGTTTATATACAAATGTAATATTAATACTATTATAGACTAAACTATTATATTACTATTTATATTGTTATCGTTCAATTATATTATTATTGTTAGTACTATTGTTTAATTGTTAATTCCTAATATGAATTATTTCTGTTTTAACCTCTTTCCCTTTCGTTCACCATGTTGAATATTTGAAAAATTTAATCCTTTACCCATTTTAATCGATACATTTGGATCATTGGTACAGATTTCACAGTAAGGATACTGTTTTTCAGGTACAGGTACTACATATTCATGTGAACCACAATTAAAACATATTAGCGAAAAATTAGCTGAATAATAAGCTTTTTCCATTTCATCATAACATTCTAACGCTGCATTTACAAATACTTTAGATAAGACATTCCTTAATTTTTGATCCATATCATCCCTCTTGGTATAGGTATTTGTATCATCTACTAAAATAAACTCTTCATCTGAGACTTCTCCTTCCTCTGATTCCATATCTGATAAAATATTATCACCCTCTAATGTTTCCATATTTCGTTTTCGGGATGATTCTTCCATAGGATCATCTTCAGATTCCATTTTATTGTGAAAAGCAAATGTAGTACCACAAGTATAACTTATTGTATCAAAGTATGACATTAAAATTTTCTTTTCATCATCTGTGATTTTTTTAAGGGCATATAAACACTTTGGCTTATTACAATCCATGCATTTTATAGTCATACCCACATTTTTGCTCTCTGTGCATTTCTTGTCCATGGCATTTGCTTATCTCGCCTTTTTTGAGCTTTTACTTTCTTATTTTTGTCCGATTTTGCTTTACGAGCCTGTATAGATAGACAATATGATTCATGAGTATCTGTACCATAAACATCCTCAAAATTTTTATAATGTTCATTATTTGCTGGCATTGGATCGGGTAAGTGATATAATATATTGAATATATGTTGAGGACTTCGGATTGGTAAACATATACTACAATAATCTTCGCTACACTTCTTTATTAAAAAAAAATACAAATGAGATTGGCAACAATGATTAAAAAATTCACTTATCGGCTATTAAAAATAAATATATTAGCTGTTAGATTTTTAATGTCAAAATATCAATAAACTGAATTTATTAATGTTATTAATAAAGAATTACCTTATTTTTTATATTTGTTCAATTTCTATCTTCTTTCGTTAAAGTAGAATCAATTAAAAGAATTGAATTCCATAATGCATCTATATCTAATTCTGATGCAGCTTCAAAAGTTTGGAAATTTTATCTTTTAATTGTAATCGTTTAAACAAATCCTTCAATAAATCAATTGTAGGATTTAAGCTTTCTTTGAGTTCTTTTTTTAATATAGGAGTTTTTTCTGCTGCTTTTCTTATGTCATTCATATTATTACATTTTGACATAATTTCTTCTAACTCTTCATCCATTTCTTGACGCATAAGACTAACACATTGCAGTCCTAAATTTAATATAGACATGATTCTCTCTACTGGATTTTTCCAAGAATGGCCAGGTGGTGTACGTATTGCTACTAAATAATCTAAATCTAATGCCAAAAATAAAGCAATAAGCGCAAGTTGCGTTTTGACAAATTTTACCTGATAGTCTGGTCCTCCATCTGTATATAAAAATAAATAAAGCTTATTTGTTTTAACGATTATATTGTAAAGCTCAGATACATGTCGCATTGCACTTGATGGCTCAAATATAGAATTTTTTAGGCTCACATGAACATTACTACGGTAAAATGATTCGTCTATTAAATTTGGAATTTCAGCTTGCATTATAACACTTAGAATAAAGCCGCATTTAGTAAATCATGATCAGCAATAGCAAATGTTATTCCATTAGCTACAATTACTGACTTTCCTCATTCTACAGCAGCTACTGGATAGTTTGGCTTCCCAACCTTGCATTGATGTTTGTCATCTAAAAAAAATAGATTTGAAAATTCTTTGTATTTAATTGCCATTTCTTTTTCATATTGAAATAATGCTGATATATAATGAAGATCAGGATGGTCAACACGTAGTTGACATGCTTGCACCATATATTTAATATCTAACTTTCCAGTATAATATTCTGATACTTTGACAGTTTCATTATTAGGGCTAAATTGTATGTGTAACCATTGTTTTGATGGTATTGAAGTATTAGATGGACAGATTTTTGTAACTTGAGCAATTAAATCCCGTACTGATATAGCATGTAACAAATGTACAATAGTTCCATGTCGTCATTCATCAATTGCTGCATATTCTTTAAGATATTATTTAACGTATTTCCAAAATTCAGAATATATCTCAGGTCTACCTTTATTAAGATTTCGTAAGTCTGTTACTATTTTTTTATTTCCATTAATAAGCAGTTATTTTGTACGCAATGCGATTTGCTTTTCTGTCATATTACTAGACGAAGTTGAATCACCAATTAACTCTTGATACAATACACAAATTTGATGATTTTTGGTTGGTATATCCAATATTAAGTCAACTTTATTTTTGAATTTTGTACGCATAAATCGGGTATGGTAGGTTGGCATTTTATTTTTTAAGCAATTGGAAATTACGCAACATTTACTTGTTACTTCTTCTTCTTTTAGGTTTTCATCAATATGTCATAAAAACATGTATAGAATGCATTATTATCAGATGAATATCAAAAAATGCCAAATTTATGGCGAATATTTTCAGGTAAGTTTTGAATAAATAAATATTTTTTACTAAATATATATATTAAAAATAATTAGTATATAAATATTAATTTAATATAAATAATCTTTACTTAT